AAAGATGTGTCAAAGCAGTGAATCCATCATCACATCTTATTCAGCCTTATGGCTGATAAGTTATGTTGGATCCGAAGCAAGAGAAAAATGATCTTAAGGGCTGTCACTTCACTTCAAAATTTCCTTTCTTTTTTTTCCTTTTTCTCTCCTCCAAAGTTTTGCTTTGGAAATTGAGCAAGATCCATAAAATTGTACAGTGGCTTCATGGCAAGAGCAGTTAAACTCTGCCTGTTTTGGGTTTTTTTTTGTTGTGTTTTGCCTGTGCTCTTTACTTTTTTTGATTCTGAGTGCATTTGGACTGATAATTCAAAGCAAAATGTGGAGGGGTCAGGGATTACAGATGATGTGACAATCAAAATAGTTTCATGAACTCTGCAAAGGAAAACTTTGTTGAGCTCTTCCCACCTCCAGGCCAGACAGCAGATACGTTCTGAATCCCAGCTTGGACACTGGGTATTGCAGTTCCTTCAACCAATGTGTTAATGAGAGTTTCAGATCTTCATGCTGTGATTCAGGCTTTTCCTTTTCTCCTGCCCTCCCTGGCTACTAGCACTCCCTGTTATAGAAACCATCAACACAATGGGAGAGTGAGCAACTTGACACCTTTAAGGATGAGCATTTGGTAGAAGATCTGCTTTTGAGCTCTCGGATCTGTCCTACCTGGTAACTTTCTCACTTCTGAGTCTTCATTTGCCTGTTGAGTGCTCTGTAATGCCTTTAAGAGGTAAGTTCAGCAGAGCTGTACTTCACCAATCAGTATCTCTACTGACTTGCAAAACTCCCTTCTAAAGTAACCTCTTGCATTTGTAAGGGCATCGCTATAAACCTCCATCCAACAACTTTCCCATCACAGTGAAAATGTTTTTCTTTTGTCAGTTTAGCTCATCACCTGCCATCACAGCAATGAAACAACTGTCCTTTTTTTCACTTTTCTCTGCACTTTGTGTACAATTGTACCTACTAATTCTGTTTATATCTACCTGACTCCACAGTGATTGCGCATTGTATATATATATGTATAAAAATGAATGAAAACAAAGGGATGGCTCCTTTATTATAGTGCAAACTAATAATAAAGACTTCTTTTTTTTTTAAGAAGAAAGGGAAGGTAATAAAGATGGGACCAATCCTGATCACTTTGCAGGTGCTTTCTAGGAAAAGAGAAGACCCTTATTTCAAACCAGCCAATGGAGAACAGTCAATGCAGAGTCCAGGATCCTTCTTACCAAAAGGACAGGGTGGATTTTATACTCAGTAGCTCTCCATCTAGGCACAGCAGCTAAATGAGGACCTTTTAATGAAGCTCATGCTGCCTAAGAAACCTCATCTGGTGGGTTCCTCTTGGTATCAGTGACTTCGGTCATAGCTCTTTTGGGCACTTGCATAACTTTTCATGGTTGTGGATGGATCCTTTCTAATCCCTGATTCCAAAAAAACCATTAAGCCATGCAGGCTTGTAAGCACCAGCTATAAGCAATGTATAACACAGAACCCAGGTGATAAAGGCTTTTTTATCAGACTCCTAAAAGCTGTCAATAAACTGCATAAGACACCCAGCAGCAGCGTCAAGAAAACTAGAAAAGAAGCCAGCAAAATAAGCATGCAAAATAACACGATGGAATGGATGGGATATGTGGTTAGACGCCCTCCCTTCCCTCCAGTTGGTAGCTGATGTATCTGAAACATCCAAGTTAGACAAGGTTGGACATATGTCAAATCCAGTGGGAAGTCTTCCAGGCTATCTGGGTAAAACCCCAAGACTACATCTTTGTAAAAAGTCAAGTGTCATATCGCCACCTTGTATAGAAACCCGACCAGTGGAACCCACCAGGAAAAAACCGAGTATGGAATTCGAACCGCGGCCCCAGGCCTGATTCTGAGACCGTGTTGACGAAAGCCCCAGCGACATGGCAGCTTGAAACCAAAGTAAACATAATAATCGCAACTCGAGCAATGGTCAGAGTCTTCAATCAATTCATCCTCTCCATTTTCTGCCTCCAGAAAGGTGAGGGTAAAAAACAATGGCTATTAACTCACCTCTTCATGCTCTGCAAGATTGGAAGGTAACTGGATGCCTTTTCCTTGAACTGACTCAGCAAAATGCAGGACTGCAGCTTCATTCACTAAATGTCATGCAATTGGAAAAGTTATCCATTTCACAAATAGCCAGAGGTATAGCTCAGATGAACCACCATCCGGCAAGCTCTCAAGCCTGCTGCTGTTGGCTTACCGGCAGCTTTATTGATCATGAGCCTGGATAGACTTTCTAGCATCGCAGTGAAATGTAAAACAAAGTACAACAAAAAAAGTGACATTGCTCACCAGTCAGTCAGTTTTCTCAACTCTACTCAACTCTAATTGCAACTAATGAAAAGAATATTTCATTTTTAGGTCTTGGTTCCAGCAAGCATTTTAAATAGTACTTGCCTCCGGCACTGTTAAAAATATGATCTAAATAATGCAAGATTGTTAGCAGATAGTATGGCACTATTAAATTACACCAAATAGTGAAAAACAACCCAAAGTCATTATTCTTACCAGCCTTGATCATTAGTATTGGGGTGTGTGACCTGTCTTGTAATCAGTAATGTGCATAATCATCCAGGTAAGTTAATGATTACCATTTGCATTATGCTGCAGATTTATATATGTTGTCATAAAACAGATGCATCGCTATTTTGTGAGTTTTCAGTGGTCTGTTCCAAACCATTAAAAACTTCTTCAAAATGGAAGTTTGTTTTCTCATATCAAAAAGAGCAACCTGTGCAATTTGACAAAAATGCCTAAATGTTGGAGGAAGAAATGGTCTTGTATGCTTAGTTCCATAGGCACTTCTGTAAATCCTCCCAAAATGATTTATTTCTCAGTCAAGATCACTTACGTTTCTGATTAAATGCAGCCACACACACATTTCTGTGTAGGAGAACAATGGCCCCCAAATTGAAATACAAAAAGGCACAGCCATTTTGGACTCGATGAGGTCCCTTCCAGCCCTTAATTTCTGTGATCCTATGAATGGTTTAAAACTGTCAGCTGCTTATAGGGCTCATATGGTGCTAAACATGTTGGGCTTTGTGGGTAAGGGTCAGGGGATAAGGAAGGGTCTTATTCTTGCCATATCCCTTCTTTCATAGATTTCATAGACATTAGGGCTGGAAGGGACCTCAGGAGATCATCGAGTCCAGCCCCCCTGCCTAAAGGGCAGGAAGTCAGCTGGGGTCATAGGATCCCAGCAAGATAAGCATCCAATTTGCTCTTGAAGGTGTTCAATGTAGGTGCTTGAACCACCTCCGATAGCAGGCTGTTCCAGACCTTGGGGGCTTGGACGGTAAAGAAATTCTTCTACAGACATCTCACGAGACAGCACTGTGTGGCCAGAATCTCTTTGTGCTGTTTTATCAGCAACCTTTTAACATGAAACTTGTAGTCATAATGAAATGTCTCTGGTAGCATCGTGCTCTGAAGTGTATTTCCAACAATCGGCTACTTCATTTCTGAGAAGATGCTTAACCAAATATTTGCAATGGGGCCTGTTTATGTGTCTGTGTGTTTTTCCTTTCACTTAAAACAGTCATCGCAAGTCTGGTTTTAGAATCCACTCTCTCTGTTCACGGCCAAGTTTTGACTGCTTGGCTGATGCACGGGACACAACATGTCTGCGGTGCTGCCCCCTGTTGTACAGCAGCCGAACCAACTCGAAACACAGCCGTTACAGAACAAGGCACTAACTAAATAATAATATCTTAAGCAGGAACTAGCCAGGGCTCCCTTTGATAGTTTATTGCCTCCTGTGTCATTTTAACGCCTGACCTCTTTGGCTCCAACAAATTCAATTAAAGTGACAAAATGCTGCATGATGGGAAATAGAGCCCTCATTAGAATGTCTGTCTTACTTGGTAGTCTGCTCTTAAAGGACTGTGTTTCCCATCACGCCTAATGAAAACCAGAATCTGACAGTTTGGGCTGCAACAATCCTGCACAAACTATAAATGCTTGACAGTAACACCATGATAAATATCAGCCGGGGTTGTTATTGTGATGTCTGCTAACTCTGTTAAAATTGTGAGCCTGCAAACGTTTTCATCATAACCCCATTTCCCTGATCGGTAGCCATGTCGCCGCATTATTAACATTCACTCCAGACTGACATCAAGAAAAGCAAGAAACTTTGGACTTGAGCCAGTTGCACCTTCTGAGATTTAACCCCATCTAGGGCTTTGCTGATGGCTTGAAAAAATGTGGTCTTAAATGTCTCAAGGTGTTGCAAAGTTTTAACGCCAGGTGGCTCTACGACAAGCCATCTGGCCTCTTCCATCACACAGCAACAGAATTTAACTTAGCGACTCTTTGCAGAGGAAGGGATCGTTTCTCTGTGTGGTGCCTGCCCCACAGGCTTGGGGAGTTTCTATTGCACCCCATTTCTTCAGCATTGGCTGCTGTGCTTCAGGTTGGAGAAAAGCAGATGGTGTATGGGATCTCCACAGCCACTTTCACCTACACTTGAGCCTCTCCCAGGCCCCCAGTGGAGAGGTGATTGCAGATGATAAATATAAATAGGTCCACTCCAAGCCTGAGGCATGAATACAGTCTGAAAAGTGTATGGGTACACTCCTTTCAGTCCAAGGAGTCCTCCTGGGAGGGACTTCTTCCATTCACCTGAGCAAAGAAATGCAATTTTCTTTCTTCCTTCTCCTCTAGCTGATAGCAGACCAGATCCTGCTGTGAATGGTGAGACCACTTCTGAAAATGAAACAAGGGCCTCCCATTGGGTAATAAAGGATCAATTGGATTTGCCAGCAGAAGTTCTTTGTGGTGCTTCTATTTAATTAACAACAATGGGTCTTTTATAAAACATTTTCTTAACCACCGAGCTGCCTAAACTTTACAGCAACTTTTTCAAATGCTGTAGGGGAGTTCTTAATGGAGAAGCCTATGTTTTTGAAAGAGAGATGGCACAAGCTAAGTTAAAATGTAAAAAAGCCTCTTTCCTATCCTTGCAGAAACTCTACATACTGCATGAAGGTGTCCATGTCCTTGACTGTCGCTGATAATGAATCGGGGCTTTGCTACAACAGCCAGATCCGATATTTAGAAAAATCAGAAGTCACTAAAAGAAAGATAATCTCCTGCCCTGATATTGATGATTATAAAATATCCAATCAGGAGCCAGATGTGGTATGGTACAAGGTAAATACAGTGCTGTGATTTGTGTTTTGTAGAAGTCATACAGGGCGGGGGACGGGGGTGTTTTGTTTTCATTATTCTATTTAGCAATGGACTTTTTTAGCGTCAAGTAATCTGTGACTGCCTGGAAGGATCAGCCAAAGCCAGACAGTTGCGATGGATAAAAAATATCCAAATACAGGCAAAACTAGTCAGCATGGTCACTGACCAATATAATCCCAAATCCCAGAAGGCTGTTCCCTACTACTCTAAAGGAATGTAGATAGCCTGCTGTAGCACCAGGAATAGCACATGAGATCTTCCTGAGCTGTCCCGCCCGCTCACCCCTCCACCATTTGTGCACTGCAGGGAAGTCATGCATCTAAGATTATTGTATTCCAGCCAAATGGAGGTGACAGAGCTACATGGTACTAGCACTACCCTCCAGTGGCCTATGGGAGGGACTGGGAGGCCGGGTAGGGAGAGGAGAGAGAGGCAGAAGGGGCTTGGTTTGGCTGGGCAAGGAAAGAGTCTTGAAACAATGGATTGGAGAGGGAGGCTGTGTGTGATTACTGCTAGGTAGCAGAGAAACTAGGCTCACGAGGGAGGAAGGCTGGGAGTATCTGAGGGGAGACTGAGCTCATGGAAGTATCACGCATATGCAGAAGGAGGCCGAATTTGCAAAGGCAAGTTGCATCCTGTCTTTCTGCGTTGCGAAGGCCTGGCTTGGCAACTCTAGCCAGGTTCTTTTAATTTGGTGTTTGTGTGTTATACATAATGTATGGTGAGCCGACTTTTTACTTGCCAGGTGCACAGGTGACATGGTGCATCAGAAAGAGCAGTTTTAAGAAGTTGTCAGTCTGTTTTTATTTTTTACAGGAATCTTGCTTATTCCACGTTACAGTGACAAAACCTGGACTGTAACGCACGGCTGGTATAAACCAGGCTTTTCTGTCAGCCGTTAAGGTTGCTTTTCCTTCGCCTGTAGTTAGATATGTTCAGAGCTGCTCACACATAAAATATGCATATTCAGTAAAGTATGAAATTTTACAGAAAAGAAAGTGGATCTTGTCCCACTTACATACCACTGAATAGCGTGTTGGTGAAGAATGCACAATCCTAATGTGAGCACAACACCGCAGAAATGATTTGACAGACACAAACTCCAATAGTTGTGAAGCTGTCGGCAAACCGTCTGTGAGAATGAATGAAAGAAAAGTGAAAAACAAAAGTGGTCATTTGTACTGGCTAGAGGTAGTCGATTCATATGCATGTCTGTCATCCGTGTCCTGCACATGCCGTACGGTTTATGTAAGACATCAGTTTATGGAAGACAGCTGACTAACAAGTTGTCACAACTTTTGACTTGAAACAAGCTGACAGTTCAGCTTGATTATAACAGAATAGTAGTTAAGCAATCGATAGGGACCGAACCCCTGGTCTACTTTGAGAAGAGAAAAGATCCTAGTGGAATAACCTCCTACATATTCCTGCCTATTAGGTTTTAATGGTAAGGCACTATCAATGGCAGGATCTTTGGTTCTTAGATATAAATAAGGATATAAATAAGAGTGAGAAGGATTGCAGTTGTTTGGCATTTCAGTGTTAATGTTATACAGGACATACATGGTTGTGCCTCAAGCTCTTTGTGATTCGGGGTTTTGATAAATGCTCCAGTGTGAGTTGTGGTGCTAGCTGAAATGGAAATTTGCCTTTCTGATGCTGACAGATTTACTGCAGGACCAGATTCTAGGAACAACATGTGAGCTGGTGCCAGTCCTTTCAGAGGATTGTGCCTTGTACATATTGATGTAGGAGTGAGGAGTTGCAGTCATAGGGGAGGACTGCACAGTGTCCGAACACTTAATAAAAATACAGTCCCTGCCTTAGAAAGCTCATAGAGGGTGCTGGCTTACACTGTGGGTGAAGGCCTGGCCTTGAGTTTCTGAACATGCGTGTTTTTTGATTTAGCAAGCTTAATCCTCCAGTTTTCCTACGTCTGCCTTCAGTGGCTGAGCTCACCCCATCAATAAAGGCACCATTACTCACCTCTTTACATGTTTAAATTGCTCCAGGGCACGGACATGTTCCACTAATTGGACTACTTTGTCCAAACCCATTAAACACCTCGATAACGCAAAGGGTCCAAAAATATGACAGTAGGCATATGAAGCCAAGGGAATTACCCTAAGATCTTTTCTCCCATTTGGGGGGGAACAGCGCCCTGCAGAAAATCAGTCACCTTGGCCGCGTCTACAAGAGACGCTGACTGCACAGTTGTTACTGTGCAGTCATTTAGTACCTGTGAAGGACTAATGACTAGTACTAATTACTTAGTACTAAATGACTAAGTAACATCACGGAACGGCTTTGAGCTCATTACTACTGTGCAGTAGCATCACGTCATGCTTTGTGCCATGCGACGCTACTGCACAGTCAGCGTCTCGTGTGGACGTGGCCGGTGCCCCTTAAAGTTCATTGTATTTGAACCCGTGGCTCCAGACTTGCTGTGAGACAGTGGGCTACATGTTGTTCACCTGCCATGGGCAGAACTCACTGGTTTATGCCAGAGTTGTGTGTGGGGAGAGATTACAGAATCAATAGCATCAGTTTAGATGGAGCCAAATTCAATTTGAGCATGTCTTTAAGAGAAATTAATCGTGGATCTGTTTCTGCAGTCACTCAATCTAGGTAAAATACCGATTAGCAACACTGTTCTTAACTGTAGGGTAAATTTCATTTATGGCAGAAATTATACTAATTTCTACCATAAATGCCTATTTTAAAGATTTACGCAATTAATGTCGTTACGGTGCGCACAGTACCATTAATCCTAAAGCACTGTTTTGACAACATGAATAAGGACTTCTTAAATAAATGCATGTGTCAAGGCTTGATTGAATGAACAAGGCCTTAGCGTAAAAGCAGTTTCAGAAAAAAATAAACTGGAAGAGAAAAAGGCATATTATAGCTAGAAAGAAGAGCCTTAATCTCTCCTCACTGCCTCCTTGCTATTACCGAGTGGAAGGAACGGCAGTGAAAACAATCAAAATGACAGGTGAAGGACAGGCAGTAGTTATTAGTCTGCAAAAATAGAGTTGTTGAGCTACTGCCACTTAAATTTCAAGGAAGAAAAGGAAAGCAAAATAATGAACAACCTAATTATTGAAAGAGTACGAGCACCTAAGACTGATAAAACAAATGTGCAAATTGAGGGAAAAATTAAAACTAGCCAATTGCAACAAATGCTAGTAGGAAATAGAAAAAAAAGACGATGATTTGGATAAACAAGCAATAATCTCACTTATTACTTAGGGAATGATTGATAAAAGGAAACTAAGATAATGGGAAATCTGCTTTAATTACTTCTGAAACAGGGACACTATTTTTGGAGGGGGAGGGGGGGTTAAAATTATTTTTCCCTTAAAGAAAGCATATTTTGCTCTTCCCTGCTTTCCATTTCCATGGAATGACCCAATCCTCATAAGCAGATGAAAAACTAGAACTTTCCAGTCCACGTTAGAAATGCCGTACAGTCAAGGGGGAAAAAATAATGTGAATTACCTAAAACTTGGGGGAGTTGTAAATCGTGTTTAAATTGAAAATGGTTTGAAGTAGACAAGAAGAGAAACAGCAGTGAACAATTAACAAGTCAGTGGTTCAAACCTCTCTACTCGGTCCAATTCTCAATGGAAAACCAGGATAGATATAAGCATTGTTTGCTCTACATCATTAATCATTGCGGTAGTAAAGATGTCACCTTCTTTATTACAAGTATATACTACATAAAGCAAAATCCTGCAGCAGAAAAGTATTTTGTTTTATTTGTCTGTTCACTTTCCTGTTTTTCAAAATGAAAAACAAAAACCTTATCATGCTTATTTAGAGGTGATACAGGTCTCTTACTGCTGTACTACAGGGACCATGTGCAGATCAGCATCCTACTGACATACTTGCTATTGCATTCTGGGAATTTTAGTCCTTTTAATTATTGCTGAAGAGACCTGAATCATATTCTGTGGTCCACGTTCATATTCAGTCCTATTCAGGGCAGAGGGCTTATGCAATGCCATTACACTTTTAAATATATCTAGGAAGTGAGAAAAAAGACTGTGTAATAATAGCATTTTTTTGCTTAACAACTCTGTTCTCTGCATGTATCTGGAAGCAAGTCAGTCTCATCTAGTAACAAAAATATGATCATACTCTAGTTAGTACTGCAAAAAGAGAACTGGATTCATTTCTTTTTGTAAAATCACCCACTGTTAACTGAATTCCAAGTCCACAACCAAATTCTGCTTTCATTTACGCCTGTCCGTTGGAAACACTAGTTACCGAATGAATGCAGTGGTGTTAGGCAGGTGTGGCAGTAACCCAAATTTCAACACAATAAGACTGCATAGTCTATTTGGCTTGTTAGTGGTAGAGTCTGGTCCTCACCGCCTTTACGGTTAATTATAATACACGAGAAGGAGAAGGCCTTGCTTAATTTTTCAGTATCCAGGGTGAGTTTTCAGGGCTGAAAGTTAAATAAACCATCATTTTGCTTACATTTAGCTCAGAAAATGGTAAAATAAGTGTGGAGCTTCCAGGGATTCTCATTTTCAAAAGTATTCCTTGTGTTCTGCTCTACTCTTGATGGTATTCTGTTATTTCTGATTATGTCAGAAACTCAACTGGTATATTGGCCTTTTGTGGCCATCAGTCTTTGGCAGTCCTTCAATTCAAGGATGATCTCGACCACAGCTTATTGATGGGTCTTGAAGTTACTTAAGAGTCCAATCCTTGAGCCACAGAAGTTGCAGAATTTTCTGCATGGGAGAACAGATTGTAGACCAGGATTTCTCTCCGTTTCCTTCCTTTGAGCTCTCTTCTCTGCTTTGAGGACAAGATGCTTTACCTCAAAACGGCTTGCCACTTGGTTGATGTTGCAGCCCCAGTCAGCAGCCAGTTCCTCGCAGCTCTTGATGTCAGCATCTGTTTTCTTGAGGTATGCCTTCAGTGTTTCCTTGTAGTATTTCCTCTGGACACCACAAGATCTCAGGCTGTTACCAAGCTGAAAGTAGAGCACTTGCTTTGGGAGTCATGAGTCAGGCATCCACACGCCACGTCTGGTTCAGCAAAGTTGGTGCTTGAGGATCACCGAATCGATGCTGGTAATATTACTTTAGCAAAGATGCTGGCATTTATGTGGTGATCTTCCCATTTGATGTGGAGGATTTTCCAGAGATATCATTAGTGATACATCTCCAGGCTCTTGAGATGACAATTGTGGGTCACCCACATATCAAATGTATAGAGGAGAGTGGGGATGATGACTGCATTGTAGCCCTGTAGCTTCATGGATTTCCAGAGATTTTAATGCCTAAACATATGTCAAAGCAGTTTCCCAAAGGATGCCCTTGTGCACCGGATCCTGTGCTGGATCTCCTTATCAATGTTCACTCTCTAAGAGAGGTGGCTACCGAGGTAGAGAAGTGCTGATCTACTCCAGGGTCTTTCCCTTGATGGTAATTTGGAGAGTGGGTTCATATCCATGCCTTGGGGCAGGCTAATAGAGCACTTTAGCCTTCTTGGTGTTGAGAGAGAGGCCCAAAGTTTGGGAGGCTTCTCCAAAAAGATTCAGCACAGTCTGGAGGTATTCCTCAGTGTGTGCAAGGGTGGTGCAGTTATTGGCATATTGAAGGTCAAGGATGGTTGTCTCGAGTACTTTAGTCTTTGACTGAAACATCCCAGATTGAAGACCCTTCCATCCATTTGGTGTTCAATGTCAAACCCAGAAGGTTCTCCTTAATGAGAACCAAGATGACTTAAAAAAAAAAAAAAAAAATGGAGACCAGAGTAGGGGTGATGACGCATCCTTTCTTGACCCCAGTTTGGCTCTGTCTCTGATCTGCTACTTAGAATGGAGTAACAGGTTGGGCGCCCTCCTTCACCTCTGCCCTACTTGGGCTCTGAGCCCTCTGGCCCCAAGCTTTGCCCCGCTCTGCCCTTCTCTGGGCTCTGGACCTTCTAGCCCCAGTCTTGAGTCTTACCCCTGGCAGGGCTCAAGGCAATCACATGCCCCATAGGCACTATTGGGACCTCCAAGCCACCCCTCAGTTCCTTCCACAAACTACCAGTTTAGAAATCTACCTCCAAATCAGCCCTCTGGCTATAACACAACTCCCAACTGGGTCTCAGTCTAAACCCCAGCTCCTTGGCTGTATCCCTCAGTTTCCCCCTACCCTGAGTCCTGTTCCCTTGCAAGTCGGCGGCATCCTACTTGCATTACTTGCCAGGGCAATCCAAGTATTGGGCAGAAGCTCTCCTGCCCTGGAGCACTTCCCTCCACAGTTCCCCGAGCCAAACTGAATGCTCTGGCTCAGGCCCTGGATTTATATGGCTGGAAGCCATACCCCATTTTTATCAACTGGCTCCCCTGTCAGCTGACTTAACCACAGGGCTGGCTGCTTGTGTCTGTGCTACAAAAATCCTGCCTTTGACGGGGCCGCACCACTTCCCAGCAACAGGGCAAGGGTTCTCTGTTATAAATGCTCACAGTCATCTGGTTGTGGAGAAGCTGAAGGCCTTTGATGTACTTTTCTGGACATCCTGATCTGGCCTGTAACTTTTCACAAGGCTTCACAACCGATGGCATTGAAGGCCGTTAGTAGTTGACGCAAATTAGTGCAACCCTCAGACTGCTCTGACTTCTGCAGAGGCTGGGTTGAACACATAGCAGGCTTAAAAATCAGGAATTCAGGTCAGGTTTTTCACACCAAAAGTAAGTTGCTTTTTGCGCCCCGTGGTTAAAACGCTGGACTGAACTGAGGCTTTAGGATGAGCTGGCAGCACTGGAAGTTTGAGGGGGAAGATAAAAAAAAAAAAAGATGTAGCCAATCATTTAATTTGCAGACTGGGCAGAGCTGATATTAAAGTTTAGTGAGAGATAATAAACTTGTAACCCCAAGGCACCATTTTCAAGAGGCACTTATCAGACTATGCCTACACTTCAGCACGGATTATTCCAAGGTATATTAAATCATCAACACCATTAAGGGTTATGTGACTTAGCTGGCTGGACTGACACACTGCATCCGGGCAGAGCCCTGTCATGCTCTTGGGATCGTGTTGCCTCTAGGATTCGCTGACTCACGCCCAGCACGGCATGCTGAAGTGAAGATGTCAGAGCTAGCCCTGGCCTCATCGAAACTACCGCAGGGACTCAACACTGCTAAATGACAGGTGTGAGGGGCTTCTTGGGAAGCAGATGAGGACTGCAGGTCATCAGTACCTCACAGAATGAACTTGGCACCTGGCAGTTCCAAGCTATTAATTTTTGCTGGAAATAATTTAGTGCATCAGGCACAGCATATTTGTATTTAAAGCCTGTTTTTTTTTCTCCTCATTGAAACCTTCCAAATTTTTGCCGAAAGGAATGATAGAACCTGCTACACATCACCCAAAACATTTGAAAATTCTTCTACAGGCAACCCCCACTTAACGCTGTTTCACTCTAACGCTCATTTGAAATTGATACCTGATTTCACTTAGCGCTCAACGAGTTTCATTATAACACCATCGTGGGTCATTAAAAACAATTGTGGTCTCCATCTTGGATTGTCAAATACTTTCGGTTTTGCTTAACGCTCGTTTCGCTTAATGCTCGGTTTTTCAGGAACTAATTAAGAGCACTAAGCAGGGCCTGTACATCATTACATGGTCCTTATCCCCGTAGCATAGGAGACCCTAGTGGTTATTTATGGTTTATATCCTCCCAAGAACCCTGTGAGGCCAAGAGTACTATCCCTAGTTTGGAGATGGGAAACAGATGGATAAGATAGATGGTGATTTCTCCACTCTTCATTTCATTGTTTAGCCATAGAATTAAACCCAGGTTTTCCACCTCCAAATCTGTTACCCCACTACAGTATCCTTCCAGGTAGTTGGGAAGCGCTGTATGAGGTTTTATACAGCTGTGTAAGGTTTTGTACATGGACTTTTTCTTCTTTATATTTTCTTCCATTTTTAAGTGGTTCTAGGCAGTGACTGCATGTATACACTATCTCTCAGTTAAATCTTAATGTGAGTTGTATGCTACTCCCTGCAAGCGGGTCTGTGTTTAGAGAAAAACGTTTGGATCCTTAACTAGAACAATGGTTTTAGTGATTATTCATGATAGGCATGGGGAATTTCTTCCACTGGTTCTGCATAGTTGATATTTAAAACAGTGCATATATGACAGAGAGGGAGTTGCTGTATCTGCTAATTTAAACTTCTGTTTATTTTGAAACAAGGAAGGACATTTCAAATAAGCTCCAGTGTGCTAAATAGTCAATATTCAAATCTTTGGGCCATGGGCGATTGGTGCCACCTTAGTTGAGGGGGTACATGCTCCCCCAGCGACCAGTCAGTGACTGGGGGGAGTCCCCCTGCAGGCAATCTCACCAACTGGGGGAGGGGGTTCCCCTGTGGCAAATACTCACCGACCGGGAAGTGGCCGTGGTGCTACATCTGGCGCTCCCACTCCCCGACTTAGCAGGGAACTCTTCATTAAGCTAAAATACAAACAGAAATCTTATAAGAAGTGAAAACTTGGAGAAACAACTAGGGAGGAGTTTAATAGTATTGCTCAGGCATGTAGGGCTGAAATCAGAAAGGCCAAAGGACAATTGGAGTCGTAGCTAGCAAGGGATGTGAAGGGTAACAAGGAGGGTTTCTACAAATATGCCAACAACAAGAAGGTCAGGGAAAGTGTGGGTCCCTTACTGAATGGGGGAGGCAACCTAGTGACTGATGATGTGGAAAAGGCTGAAGTACTCTATGCCTTTTTTACCTCAGCCTTCACAGCCAAGGTCAGCTCCCAGACTAATGCACCTGGCAGCACAGTTTAAGGAGGAGGTGAGCAGTCAACGGTGGCAAAAGAACAGATTAGGGACTCTTTAGAAAAGCTGCATGTGTACAAGTCCATGGGGCCAGACAGGATGCACCTAAGAGTGCTGAGGGAGTTGGCCGATGTGATTGCAGAGCCATTGGGCATCATCTTTGAAAACTCATGACTATTGGGAGAGATCCTGGATGAATGGAAAAGTGCAAATATCGTGCCCATCTTTAAGAAAAGGAAGAAGGAGGATCCAGGGAACTACAGACCAGTCAGCCTTCCCTCAGTCCCTGGAAAAATCATTGAGTAGGTCCTCAAGGAGTCCGCTTCTAAGCATTTGGAGGAGAAGAAGGTGACTGGGGGCAGACAGCATGTAGTCACCAAGGGCAAGTCATGTCTGACCAACCTGATTTCCTTGTAAGATGAGATGACTGGCTCTGTGGATGCAGGGAGACCAGTGGACATGATATATCTTCACTTTATCAGGCTTTTACAACATTCTCACAAGCAAGCTAAGGAAATATGGGTTAGATGAATGGACTGTAAGGTGAACAGAACACTGGCTGGATCATTGGGCTTATAGCTGGTATCAAGTGGAGTGCCCCAGGTTTTGGTTCTGGGACTGGTTTTGTTAAATATTTTTACCAGTGACCTGGAAGATGGGATGGAGTGCACCCTCAGCAAGTTGGCAGATGGCACAAAGCTTGTGGGGAGTAGTAGAGCGAGATCTTTGTGCAATCAGTATTTACTTGTGTATAACACTGAAAGTCCAACAAGACTACACACTATCATGAAGCTAGTTAATTTTAGCAACGTATTATTTTATTGCAGGAATGTAAACCAAAAATGTGGAGAAGCATAGTAATTCAGAAAGGAAATACTCTTCTAATACAAGAAGTCCAGGAAGAAGATGGAGGAAATTATACCTGTGAACTGAAGTTTGAAGGCAAGCTAATACGAAGAACAACCGAATTGAAGGTTACAGGTAAGGAGCTTCTTTTATAAAATTAAAGAAGTCTTGAAGTCCAGAATAAAGAAAAGCTTGTTTAATAGTGGAATTAAAACATTCGACAGACATGGACATGTAATCAAACCACCCCCGGTATCCAAGAAACCCTAGATTTGGAGGAAATTAAGATGAGGCCCCCTCTGACTGCTGAAACGGGTCTCATGTGCATTTTACTCCTTAGAGAACGTGCAGATGTTGTATATAAAACAAAAAAGTAGAACCATGCTAATGCAAAATCTCAGCTATAGGAACCCTAGACTTCATAGGAATTCAGGCCCAGGTCTGAATGTTTTGGCACATGATGTAATAAAGCCACTTACCTCCATTTCTGGCAGTTTGGGTCCAGCTCTAATGCTGAATAGGAGCTATGCTGCCTGAAAACTCAAACTCAAATCCAGCATTTTATAGTTTTTAACGTGGTGTCCCAAAGTAAATCATGTAGTCAAAAGAGTCAGTATGAATGAGTTATTTATGGTTCCAAGTACCCAATTATTTCATGCCTCTTATCTTCCAATTCAACTTTTCTGCTGCAGGTTTGGCCCTCAGGGAGGACTTTGTCAGCCGATGTCTCTTCCTAGAATATAATTAAAGAGCTATATTTTGATACAGAACTTAACTTGCACTAAACAGATTCTGTTTCTCATTCGGTTTATGCATGTGTGAGCATCTAATAATTGTGGTTACCTATCTGTTTCACTTTTCTTGTCCGGTATTAGGAATGAATAGGTATACCCATTCTTTCCTAGTCCTTTTCGTTTTCTCTTGTAAGGAAATAGCCTTAAAATTATTATGTAGCACTTAATATCCATGATACTTTATGAGCAAGTATCTGAAAATGTTCATTCTCTTTCACACAGTCCCTCATGAACAAATCTTGACATGTTTGCCTTACAGTCTGCGCATTGAGCAAATTTCAGCCCTGTTTTAAGACGCGTGCAATTATAGGCATCTGCCCTGGTGTCAGTTCAGCTCACACGCTGTTTTCAAAATACAGTTGTTCAATATACAATATACAGTTGTCTAAGAAATTGTAACATATACCAATCCATTTACCACTCCTCAGCCTTTTCCTTTGATTAAAGCAAAACTTTGCACTGGGTACCAGACTTATACAGTATATGCTTAGTTACTTTTTGACTAGGGACAGACACCTGTAGCATCAGGTCAGCCAGCCTTATCCGAAATCTGTGAGATAAAGATACAGTACTTACCTTATGAATAATTGCTATGATAGGCAGCACACTAGTCTTCAACCTGAACATGAAATAACCCTGACAAACTGGATTCAAGATCTGCTTAATTTTTCACTGGTTGGATGTGCGCTAGCTACCAGATTTGCCTGAATTTTCAAGAACTTGTAAATTATTTAGTGTTTGTACATCAAAAGTATATTTTGGAACTTCAGTTTTTAGTTTATTTGCCCTCAACTGACGTGATATGTTCAGGTTATTTGACTTCTTCAAAGCGTTTGTGGCCTGAAGTATTAGAAAAGTAAATGAGGGATCACATACTGTTCCACTTCATAAAATACTTGAGAACCAAGAGATTATTATCCTTTAAATTTGATGTACGATTTATATATTCTCCTCAATTTGCAAAAAAGCCACTCACCATTCCTTCATATTGCATGCAGTCAGTATTGTAACTATAATAACAAACCAGCTCTCTTTACGCAGACTTTAGGTAAGCTGGTTGAAATTTCCAGATACATTTGAAACTTGGATCTGATTTTTTAGTGGAGACTTGGATCCTTTTCTCTGTACGACATGGTACCTGGAACAGGCTGCCAAATGTGTATAGAGGATAACCTATACAATGAATAATAGTGATGGTTTAAAATCAGTATTCGTGGAACCATTTGTACAAAGTGTCTGAGATTTGGTGGTGTATGGATAGTCATTTCTCTCCCTCGTTTTTAAATTTGATATCATTTTATTTTATATGTATAATTAGCTTGATGGTGCTGAGTTTGGAACAAATGGTGATGGCTTATTTGTCTGGGACCACGACTACAATGTAAAGTCGAGATTCCTCAGGCAGGGTTAGCTCGAGGTGGAAGCAGGTACCCAGTACACTTGGTAGCTGGTGGATGTTGGAGGATGGAAGATGTGTTGTCATAGGAAACTGAATGGACAAGACACATACGGGTATAGTCGCTAGCACACTTTCTGAGGTTCTGTTTCCTCCCTGACTAATTTAGTTCTACATGAATTTATACTACGTCTCCTATGCAAAATATACTGGTGGGAATGCAATATTTAAACAGCTACATTTGTAAATGCTTAATTGTCAGAGCCACCAAAATTGGACTGCTTCCCACCCACTAATCATAGATTTAGAAGGACCTCTGAAGGTCTTCTAGTCCATCCCCCTGGTCAGAGGCTCTGAGACGCCTAGTCCTTCCCTGACCAATTTTTTGTCTAAGCTTCCTGGAGAGACCTAACGACTGTTTCTTGTGGAGTACCTCATCTCTTTCACAGAGGGAACCATTACTAACCTGACCCCAAAACCAAGCTCTTCTCACTCTTCGCCCATAAGCATGGGGGCTAAGCGTCCATGTTATACGTTGTTCAGTGAATTTTGGGCTGCAGATATAAAATGGCTTTTAGCAAACAAAAAAGTCAGGCAAGATGGATGAGAGTAACCTCCGGTACAACTTAGGCATAAGAAAGTAAACCACGTGGCTCGGTCATACTTGAGCTGTAGCCTGCCCTGACACTTCACTTGTTGTGGACACCAGGTCTAAGTAGTTCTCCAGAGAAAATGCAAATGGATGGGGGCAGCCATTTAGAAGCCAGATTGCTAAGAGCAATAGTAGTCTATCGACCCCATTGATGCACTGGGCAACATTATTCTGTTTTCTGGAAGTGAATTCAGGGACTGGTTGAATTCCCATCAAAAACAGATTTGCCATGCCAAGGGAAGCTAGGTTATAGGACTTGAGCTCAAACTGTCAAACCTGCTGCTGTGTATAAATCACAGCTAGTAAATACTGCTGAAGGCTCTCCAGCAAAGCAAGAGCTGTTAGAAGCAAAGCCTTAATAGAATTTGCACTGTTAGTGGACACTGCAATTGTGGGGAAAGGGATCCTACCCACTGGTTTGAGATGCGTTTGCCTTTGCAGAGTCTTTCTAATGCTTCTGCTATTGCTGCTGCTTTTAGCATTTATGAACTCTCAAGTACACAAGCTTTTCTAATAGTATAGATTGCTAATAGCAAGACACTGGTGGCCAGACTGGGAATTCTTTAGCAGAATAAAAGGTTAGCTTAACAAGCAATTGGCAACACCTGGTCTTTCTTAAGCCAGCACTGTGGTATGCCGTGCATAGAAAAGAGACGTAACTTAGTGTCTCTGAATCTTTTTGCTCACTCAAGTAAATACCTCTTGAAATTCCAAAATTAAGAGATATATAATGAATTCCTATCTGTCCTTGTCTGTATTGTTACCAGATTTGCCCATCACTTTATTAGGGGTACGTTTCTGGGGTCTTTGTAATTCTGTGAATGTGCTGCTTGTGTTGCTTGGGTTTCTATACAGAGCTGCATTTCTCCCTTCTGCAAATCCTTACCCCCCCATGGAGCTATCTTGCAGGACTCTGTTTCAATGGGGCTGGGTGCTGCCAGCCACCAAATCCGTCAAATATACACGCACGCGCGCGCGCGCACACACTAACGTGACACGCCTGACCCAGCCGAGTTGATCAGCATGGACAGGCTGACGCCCTTATATGCCAGGAATCAGTTCATTAAGGTTACAATAAACTGCAGTCAGACACAAGCATACAGTTAAACAGAATACCTCTGAATCTGGCTGGGTGTCCAGCTGACACCCTCATGGGCCAGCATTCAGTTCATTAGGGCACGTCTGAGCCAAACTGGGTCAATCAGCCTGTACAAGCTGATCCCCTTAAGTGTCTCAAACTCAGCATGTCCCAATCTTTTGCCCTTACTGTCCTAGTACTGGTAGCCTCTTGATGAGCAGACCCCACAGTATTTCTGGACTTCACAGGGATCTTTGGCTTAGGTAAAAGACACATTGCTGCAGAGCAAGTGAGGAAGGGGAAGTAGAGAAGGAAAAATTCACCTGGTGACTATAGAAGTTATTTATTGCTAAGGATATGAAATGTATGATGGTACTAGTAGTAATAGACATGCAAGGGAAAACAAACAAAAGCAATTACAATATTACCCTGTTTCAGTTGAGTATTTGGGGAAACCTAGCTCAAGCTTAACTAATACAATTCAGGTTCAGAAAGCTATGCCTAGAGAGAAAAAGAGAAAGAGTGAGAGCGAAAGCTGGGATCTCCCCATTCCAAGGCACTTGGGTGGTTTGTTGGCAAGCAAAGTTCCCAGCATGATCATTGACCGGAGACGATCTGTTTATCCCAGCTTCTTGAGAGCAACAGCGTATGGTGTCAGAGAAATTTCTCCCTCTTGAAACACCCTGTTTGCTGCTTTACAGCTTTCTCATACCCCTAGTCCAGCTTCTTCAAAGCATTCTTTTAATTGTGTAAATCAAGAGGGTCCCAAGCCATAATGGACAGGGAAAATCCTGTGATATAAAGTTTCAATTTAAATGAATTACCTTTTTCAGTGCCAAGGGGTTATCTGGTTTGTAACGTCTCAAGAAACTGGTTAACAACCAGGAAAAGCCTAAAGTTTTAAGGAGTAACCAGACACCTAGGAGCCAGCTTGAAATTATTATGAATATAGAAGATATACTGGAAGGGATACCATGTTGTTTTTTCTCTGATGGCCTAGCTATGCTTGCACTGTGAAGTCAGCATCAGTGTTTTGTATTTTGCCTGTTGTGAATAAGCCTCAGCTTACTTTCAGCTCTTACTGTAGTCTTTTAACAGACTTAAGGGGATTACTTGGAGTGTTCATAAACTTTGTGGGGAGGACTTCCACCAGCCTTCGCAGGAAAAGTATGACAGCATTTGTGGTCAGGGCTCCAACAGTAATGAACCCTTAAC